AATTTAAATATTTTTTGATATAAATTAAAGTTAAAATTAGTGCAAAATATCCACAAATATAACAAGTTAAACCAATTGAAAAATCACAAAAAATATGTGTGTGTGTTCGCGAAACAACTATAGAATTTTTTATCACTTGCTCACAATTGAAATATATTTACGTACCTTATTTCGTAGAAATTTCGTAAAAATTAATAATAAATATATCTTCGGTGGACTGTATGTTTTCCAAGGGATGATGGAATGAAGATGCCAAAAATCCGTATATGATACACAAAAATCCGGTTCGCTAGGACCAAATGTTCAGCCACAGGGTATACAGAGGCGTCACGAGCAAAAAACTATTTGCCTCTCTTTCGCACAAAACGATTTCAATGACTTTTTTAGCTGTATTTTAAATACCTCTTCTCACCAAACAATTTCAAAATCAAACAAAAGCTGATTTTAGACTTTTTTAAATGTCAAAAGTGACACCTCTGTATACTTTGTGGTTCAGCTCCACCACAATTTCCCAAGATTTTATGAAATAAAACAAAATATTTGCAAATTTAATGAGACGTAGATCTCTCTGTATTTATTATTATTTTACCTCGTAGAAGTAATAACGCCAAGAGCACGTAGTGCTTATGTTGACGATCAGAAAAGAAGTGTTTTTTAATTTACAAAATGTAAATTGGTGGCAAACAATATTTAGGTACCGTTAACGGTTTACTCGTTAGAATCTTCCAACAAAGTTGTAAATAAAGCGGAGCTTAATAAGATTCTAACGATGCAAAAAATAGTATTTGCATATGTTATCAAAACAAGTGTAAACCATAAATCGAACTTGAACACTTAATGTAAACAAACAGATATTTTGACAAATTGGGTTGAAACTGCTGATAATCAGCTGTGCGCACGAGGTAAACTTATTTAATAAACATTTGTATAAAAAATCAAAACAAAGAAAAAACAATTTGAATTATTGTATTTTCAAACAAAATTTTTTATTCACACATTTGAATGGTTTTGAATAAAATCAAAACATTTACGGTCATTTTCACCTAAAATTATTTTATAAATTTAACTGAAAAAATTACTAACTGCCAGTTTGGTTAACAACTAGTGTCCGACCGAACGTTCGGGTACGCGTTCGGTAAAAAGTGGGGTTCGGCCAATGTTCGGTGAACTTTTTATAAAATGTTTATTTATCATATTTTTACATCATCAAAAAGTTTTAAAAATGCTGAAAATTTGTTTACAGAATTTATTATACATCCTGGATGTACAATAAATTTCCCATATACATAGGTACAAAACGCCTTTCTAACTGTTCGTTTTTTCGGCCGATTTGAAAAACTGTTAACCAGATACTGATAAAAAAGCTAAGAAAAGTGAAACATTTAATTTGAATTATCTAGTTTCGATTATAAATCTTTGATTTCATTTGTAACATCGAAATTTTCTGGGTGATCTAGACATGTCTGTCAGTTTCATTAAAATTTCATATAAATCGGCAAATTGAAATTTGCGAATTGTGTTAAATATTGCAAGTATATTATCTTTATATTATAAGTATTTTTTATTTTTTTTAATTTTACTGATTCGATAAAATTCATTTTGATTTCGATACACATATAAAATGAAATTTTGATCACATTGTATCATAATATGATCATGTATAACAATATTATGATAAATACAAAAATATCATGATGAAATATTTTGACGGTATTTAATCATAATATGATATTTTAAAATTGTTACAATAACTATATGTTTAGACTACAATCATAATTTTAACCATAATATGTTGCTCTTAGAACATGGTTACCACAACCATGTTTTTTCTCTGCGTGCTCTTACAGAGAATTATATCATTGTCAATAAATCGTTTAAAAACCAAAAATAAAAGTGTTAAGATATATGCATTTCACAAAAATGGTTTGTTATTAGAAATTTATCACTCTCTGGAATTCGGAATTAGTTGTTAATTGACCCAATTGCCAATTAAAGACCCTCTTCAAAAATCTTCCGGATGTTCATATTTTGATTTTAAATGTTATAAATTTATTACTTTTTAATCATAAATGCAATCTTCATTTAAGAAAAAAGTTGTGTTCACCGAACTTTGAAAACCAAACAATGTTCGGATTCGGCCGAACTTTAAAATTTACCGTAGTTTGGGTTCGGTGTTCTGTACCGAACGAAATTTTGAGTTCGGTCGGACTCTATTAACAACTATTTAACTTTAAGTTATAATTTTCATTGTCACCATCCTTCAGTTAGACAACTTAAAAATAAATAATTCATGTAGGTAACCTTTGATTAATATTTTGAAACAAAACGTTAAATGTTTAAATAAATTAACATTATTTTAATTATTATTCAGAGAAGAAATACAAACCTACGGATACGCTTGCGTTTTCTGGTTCCAACAATATGTAAATTAAATGGAGTCCGGCTGCGGCTGAGGATTTGTAAACATTTTATTGTTTTTTGTTTTTGTCAAGTGTCAAGTGTCGTCACTTTACTGTCCAACGAGAAAAAGAGTAGACAATTGAAAAAAAAAAAAAAAACTTAAGCAATGAAAATGTAGAGAAAAAGGAAAAACATGATCAGTTTTGTCTGAGTGCTAAGATAATGAACAAATATTTCATCACTTTTTAAGTTATTTGATTTTTATGTTAGTTGACTTTAAGAATTGTACAAGAAACAACAAGTGAATTTATTAAAGATGAGTTAAAAAAAATTATTAGAGATTGCGGATAGATACTAATCCTTAATACATACAACAAATTCTATTATTTCAGAGTCATGTACATATGTAAATATGTGTAACAATAAATTACAAAGTTTAAAAGTCGGATTTTACAGAATAATATTAAAAATATTTATTTAAAATAGAAATAAAAGCATTTCTTTTTAATTGGTTTTCTTATTTTTCATAGTTTTTTAGAGATAAACTTCTACGAAGCGGTTATTTAACCCTACTACAATAGCTGTCCATTAGACTAGCTACTTCGACACGTCAATAGCTAGTAAAGTAACTAGTTAAAGAACTAGTGATATTGACTCCTTTTGAATAGCTTTTGAATGTCTCTTTGTAGGCTATAGATTGCCGATTGACATCCTCGTAGGACAAGCCTATGTTAAAATGTTTTGTCACCTGGGTAGTCAGGTAGCTAGGGGCCAGCCTAAATGGTAGGTTAAGTGTTTAGTTCGGGACTGTCCTCCCGAACTGCTGGGTACTGTCCCAGAAAAAAAAGTGCAAACAAGTAGTAAATGATGATCATCAAGTGAATTTTCATTGGTGCACTATATTTATTTTAAAATGCATTATTGAAGGTATCATTAATTTGTTGTTCAAGAAGAAGGAATATTTTCATGATTTCTTTAGTACGTATTCAATTGTATGCGTTTTAAATACATTCCTATATTCTAATAATTTTGTCGTAAGTGAACGCTTGAATATTCCATCCAATTCAATAATGCAACTCTACTATAGGAATTATAATATTTCACTGTAAATAAAGCTTGGAAAGAATGAATTCTATTTGGAATTAATTCCCTTATATTTTTAATTCGGCTTTAAATTTTTGAATGTACCATTCTTTAAAATCATTCTTTGAATTTAAGTTCTAAGGCTGAATTCCTTGGCTTTATATTCCATAGAATTAATTCCTAAGAGAATTCATTCTTTATAGGAATGAATTCAATTGAATGATCATTGTTATTTGCTTAATTCCTTCTATTACAAATTGAATGAAAGAAAAAATGTTTAATTCAATTTTTAATATATAGAATGCTTTTGAATTATAAAGTAAAACTTTCATTCAATTTATTTCAAATTGAATGGATGAAAATTTTTTAAATTCAATTTGTAATAGATTGAATTAAAACAAAACTTTTATCATTCAGAGGGAATTTAAAAATCAATAGGAATTCTTTAAATTTATTTTAATCCAATTTGTAACAGATTGAATGCAAACAAACGCAAACGGCCCTATCTAACATTTTTAAAATTTTACAGAAGCAAAAAACTATTTAAATTGAAAAGTTTGTTTCTATCAACGCTTAGTTAGGTTAGTTAGGGCCGTTTGCGTTTCAGGTGACGATATACATAATTTATTAGATTTTTGTATTTAATATTTGTTAAAATTAGTAATATTAAGTTCATTTTAACATCTTTCTTAATAAGAGAAGAAAAACCAAGCTTAACGGACTTTAAAGTATATTGGTTATTTTTAGTCTGAATGAATTTTAATGTAATTCGAAATAAGTTATAAATGTTTTATTTCGTTATCAAATATAATTTTTAAAAATTACACTAAAAAATGAATTTACATTAACAATGATGTTAATATCAAGTTAATGCATTTATTTTATTATTTAATATTAATTGAATGTTAATGCATTGTTTTCAATATTTAATTGCCCAATTCACAGTCGGTGTGTATCGTAGTATGTCTGTGAGAATAGCGTAATGTTATTGTTGTAAAACAATATCAATGTTTCACTTCTTCAGTCAATAAAACTATGTGAAAGCCTATAGAATGGTGCAAATTGGCACAAAACACAGTCTAATAGTAAAAAAGACTAAGAGCATTTTTCAAATCTGCAACCAACCACGAATGTATCGTAAGTCATGCCAATGTTCTAAGAGCAGCTTCAATATCGATATAAATTGATACTATTCTATATTATTATATTTATAAAAATTTTATTAGAAAAATTCTGATAAAGGAAAAAATAAGTAAGTATCTATTTGGGTTGGGTTTAAAATGTTAAGAAAAAAAGAACATTCCTATGAATTCAACCATAAAAATATATTTTGTTACATAAATAAATATGTATACGCACGGTAATGGCAATTGTATATATTTTTGTCATTATTTAAATTTAGACCCAAGAATATTTGTACACTATTGTTAAAAACAAAGATCTAAAATAAAATGGCGCTTTATTCCGTTATGTTATCCAATATGCAAAATGAGTTCAACGGGGTTTAGATTACTTACCTGTCTTATCGGAACCGGACTGGCGATCAAACTCGCGTTTTCCACCACGGAATCCTCCTTCACGACTACGTGGGGGACCTCTATTGTCGCGATCTCTAAATTGGCGTGGCTCTCGCTGTTCATTACCAAATTCGACTCCTTCTCTGAAGTTTCGACGATTATTTCTTTGTTCACGAACTTCATTATTTTGCGACTTGAAGGCTACTCTGCGTGATTCCCCGTCAAACGTGCGACTTCTATCGCTTCCAGGAGCTCCAATTTTGGGTTTACCTTGACCGGCAGACTTCTTATTAACGGCATCATTTTTATTCAGAGCACCAGATTTGTTCTCTTTCTCAACATTTTTTTTTGCACTAGTCGCCGGCAACTTTTTAGCTGGCTGACCTGCAGTGCTTGGCTGCTTCTTTTTAGAAACACCAGGTTCGTTCTGTGCCGGTAAAGCTGCCGATTCATCATCCATGAACAATAACTCATAACGATTGTTTCCAGAGATATCCATAATTGGGTGTTGTTTTTAAAATTTATATAAGTCTGAGGATGTCTTGCAAATTTGCGGATTTATTTTCGGGTTATGGTGTGTGAGTACTTTTTAACAGCGAAGAAAACCAATATAAAATCAAGAAAACATGCGAAATATTCCAACGTTTGGAATACAAACGCTCGTATATCAGAGCCCTGCGCTGACAAATATTAACGACGGCGGCGGCAGACACTAAAAATATCGGCGGCGGCTTAAAATCGACTGTAAGCCGGCTAAGTTCTCAAACACTTAATTTTTATTAAATTTTCAAAGATTTTAAATAAAAACGGAATCCGAGAGATAAAAAAGTGGGATTTTGTATATAATTTATAACAACAAAATAGGGCAAGCACAAAAGTTGCGTGAGAAAATATGAAGGGGTGGAAAAAAATAAAAAATTAAAACCAAATTATTTTAAAAAATTTAATTAATTCTTAAAAATTGAAAACAAATCCTTCCACCAAGTTTTATGATGATCGGCCTACAATTTCCCAGGTATTTATTTTTGCCGCATAGTGTAATCTATATAATAAAATTTTGAATAATCTAAATAACATTTTAATTTTTTTGTTTAACTTTAATTTGTAATACGCCATTAAAAGCGCCTCTCGAAGACCTTTCACATGATATCAAAATTATCAATCCTTTACGTGAAATATAAATAAAATAGGAAAAACGCCTCATGGAAACATAGCATTACACAATATTAGTGCCGGTTTACATGAGACTTTTTCTTATTTATTATGCTAAACTTCAAATTGTGTTGTCTAAACAATTGTTTAGACAACGTTGTCTTGATAACAAACGTCATTTTATTGTAAATTTTTTTTAGAATTTTATTTTTGTTTATTTGATTTTTAACATTAGTTTTGTTGAAATTAGTGTTTATTTACAAAATTTGCATTTAATTTTAATTGTTTTTATTATATATAGCATTATTTCAATAAAATTATCTGTGAGTTGTCGTGATAAAATCAGCGTTTTGTTACCACTATGTATTAACATAAACAATTTTTCTGCCGACTTTTTGTCAAGTGCCGTGATAAATATTTGTCTAATATAGACATGGGGTAAAAATCGCATGCGACTACTCCCACACATGAATTAGCCATTTGAAATAATTTAATTTTTTGCATATTTCAATTAATTTAAAAATAATTAATTTTTTCAAATGTTATGAGTATTAAAATATTATTATATCTTTAATAAAAAATAATTACTATAAGAAGAACTAAAACATACTGCTAATAGTAACAAAAATATGTATTTTAAAGTATTTTAGTGTTTTTTATACCCTTCACCTTCGTGAGAAGGGTATATATAAGTTTGTCATTCCGTTTGTAATTTCTATAATATAATTTTCCGACCCTATAAAGTATATATATTCTGGATCCTTATAGATAGCGGAGTCGATTAAGCCATATCCGTCTGTCTGTCCGTCTGTCTGTCTGTCTGTTGAAATCAGTTTTTAGAGGACCCCAGATATCGGCGAGATCCGAATCTTCAATAATTCTTTTAGACATGCTTTCGAGAATATCGCTATTTAAAATCAGCAAAATCGGTCCATAAATGACGGAGATATAAGCAAAAATCCGAGACAACCTCTGAAAATTTCATTAAAAAAGACTATTTTTTTCATGCTTTGATTAATAAGCAACAACAACAACACTGCTTATTCATTGAGTATTTCGTTTCACATATTTGGATGGCTGTGTGTTTCATTGGCATGTGTATATTGTTTTTGTTTATTGGTGTACAGTTTCGTTTGTTGGTTTTACTGCCTTGTGTATTTTGTTTTTTGAGTGTTTATTTCGTTTAGCGTTGTTGTGGTTCATTTTGTTTTGCTATTGCTATAATAATGATATAATCGGGAAAATTAAATAGGTACATACATTTAAATTTTATAAAATTTATATTTTTTAAATACACTTTGGTGAAGGGTATATAAGATTCGGCACAGCCGAATATAGCACTCTTACTTGTTCATAAATTTTTTTATATAAATATTTACTTAAATAATTAAAACAATATTTAATTTATCAAATGTTGAAGTTATCAAATCTTTGAATTACATTTGTTTGATTGCAAATTATGTAGGAATTTATTTATGATCAATGCGGTACATTTTAATTGTCCTATCGTTATTTTATATAGTATATTATCCTTTTAAAAAAAAATTAGGTGTAATTTTATTTATATATAATTATGTATTTTGTATTGGAGGAATTATTGTGAAGTAGAAATTTGTAACCGCTTATGGCCTTTAGGCTAGGTTATTGAATATTGTTAAATAAATAAATAAATAAAAATATATTTTTATTTATAAAATATTTAAAACAATAAATTAACAATTATAAAAATGACAACTCTTACACTCATGATTTAAAAAAGCAGGCACTCCTTAAAAGTCTCAATGTAAACATTGAGCACTTTTAGTTGAGGGGTCATGCTGCAGGGTTTTTTCTCCATTCTTTTTTAAATGCCCTTCGTAAAATGGTTAGGTTAGGTTAGGTTGATAGGAGGATGTATACTAAATCAAATCCGAAGAAATACACCTAGGCCACTATCGGGCCTGTTGTGCGCTCCAATTCAAGAAAAAAAAAAAAAAATTGTTCACTGAATGTATTATTTTTCCATGTTCAGAAACTCAGTTTCCTGGACGTAATTCCTAAGAATCTTCCAATCGGTGTTGGTTAAGAATGTTATTTCCGGAATAACATCACTTCCAAGATACTTGGATCTAACTTCGACGAATGCCTGACAATGGCAAAGAAAGAGCTCCAGAGTTTCACTGTCCTCTCCACATGCTCTACATTCGTCTGAATTCGCACGTCCAATTTTGTATAGATGTGCTCGTAATCCTGTGTGTCCACTGAGAATACGTACCATCATACTAACCTCAGACTTGCTCATTTTGAGAAGATTTCTCGTCTTGCTCTCATCAGGGTCACCCCATAGAATCTTTGTGGTTCTACCCACCGTTTCATTATTCCAAGAGGCCTTATGGGATTCTTTCAACCATATTTTTAATTCAGCTTTTGTTGCGTCGAATGGTTTTGCGTTTGTCAGGTTAACTACATCGAGCTCCCTTCCCTTTAAAGCTATTACATTCGCCCTTTCGTTGCCGATTACTCCCGAGTGGCCTGGTACCCATATGATGTGAACCTTACCTCTGGGAGAGTATTCAGTTAAAGCTTTCTTACAATCCAATACGGTCTTAGATTTAATTCTATCACCTGATATCGCACAAATTGCCTTCTGGCTGTCGGTAAATATATTAAGCCCTGTGGGCGCCATATTTATTCTAATCCAATTTACACATTCCGTTATTGCTCGTACTTCTGCCTGGAAGCTTGTGTTATGATTAGGTAAACGGTGGTATATTTCTGTTTCTGGGTCTTCAATATAGAACCCCAGACCCACTTTGTCCCCTAATTTAGAGCCATCCGTGTAGCAACGGATTCCTACTGGTATTTGCTCTAATGTTCCGCTTGACCAAGACATTCTATCTGGGATTAGCGTTTCAAAGTTTCCGACATATTCAGTATCTGGTATGCGATCAGGCACGTCCGATGAATGTGTATAACCTTCCAATGTGTCCAGTATACATTGATGACGTGTCCTATAACCGTTTTTGGCCAGTTCGCCTAAAGTAAAGAGCCGTTCGGCTGTAAGCGCCGCCTCATATCTTATATATGTTTCAATGGGTGGAATATCTAGCAACGTTTCCAGAGCCTTGGTTGAAGTAGTACACATGGCACCACTTATACCCAAGCAGCATGTACGCTGAACTCCCTGTAGTAGTTTGATATTACACTTTTTGTCCAAAGCAGTCCACCAGATTATTGAAGCATAAGCTAGAATTGGTCTAATTACACTTTTATAAAGCCAATTTGTCATAGTAGGACTAAGACCCCATTTCATGCCTATGGTTCTCCTACATATCGCCCAGCACCGATGTGCCTTGTTGATCCTATCCTCTATGTGGTGTCTCCATTTTAATTTCCGGTCAAGTATTACACCTAAGTACTTAACTTTGTCTGTCACCGGTATCTTCTTGCCCAAGAAGCAAGGTTCAGTATATGTAGAAATTTTTGTCTTTCTTGTGAAAAGACAGATTTCCGTCTTCGCCGGGTTAACATTGAGGCCTCTCGGTTGAGCCCAGCTCAAGGCCGTATTCAGAGCCTCCTCAGCTCTTCTACACAAGTAATTTGGATCCTTTCCCTTTAAAAGTATTACGACATCGTCTGCATAGCAGACAGGTCTAAGTCCTTTCTCGGTTAGGGTCCTTAGGAGGCTATTAATCGTGGTGACCCAGAGTAAAGGTGACAAAATGCCACCCTGTGGTATACCGCGAAATACCTTTTTCCTGATAGTTATATCGTACATCTCGCAGCTTATCCATCTGTTCCTTAGCATGTAGTTGATCCAGTTACGGAGCACCCGGTCAACATAAAACTGGTCTAGGGATTGGATAAGGGTATCAGTGTGCACGTTATTGAAAGCGCCTTCGATGTCAATGCATACTGCCAGTGTATACAGTTTGCTATCGAAGGATTCACCTATGTAGTGGACAACTTCATTTAAAGCGGTTTCCACCGATCGTCCCTTTACATAAGCATGCTGCTTATATTTAAGGTCATTGTATGGTATGCTGCTTTTAACCATGCTATCGACTATCCGCTCCAAGGTTTTAAGTAGGAAGGACGTAAGACTTATCGGTCGATAGGACTTAGGTGTCGCATAGCTAGGTTTCCCTGGTTTGGGTATAAATATTACCCTTGCATCCTGCCATTTAACTGGGGTATATGCCAATTTTTCGTAAAATAATGAACGTTTAGATGGCGACTCAAAGGGCGTGCGACAATTTTTGTTAGTGTTGCCATATTTATGATTCTTAAATGTTGTTTCTATTATTTTGTTTAATAATATATATGTTTATTTTTCAAATATTTGTTAATTAAATATTGTGTTAAATATGTTTAACAAATATACTTGAATAAATTAAAAAATTTTTGCGAAATAACACTCAATTGATTATTAAATTATGTATGAGTTTAGCTGAGAAATATTTCTATAGTTATTTATTTAATAATTTATATTTTTTACAAAAATAACTAAAATTTAACAAGCAAATATTTGAAATATTTATTATTTTTTAAATAAAATTTAAATAAAATTAAAAATATTGCAAGTTGCAACACTGATTCATGCATTAGAG